ATTTAGCAATAATAAAACTTTAGAATGCATTAATAAAAAATTTTTTTAAAAAATATAAGAAATAGAATAAGTATTAAAACACAATATATATAATTTTTATAATTTTTGACTGCATAGTTAATGATTTAAAAATTGTCAAAGTTGAAATTATAATAAAAACATAATAAGTGGACTCAAACTTTTGGAAGCAACCATATATTTATAATTTATTATCTATTAATTTGTATTAATAGATTCAAATAATCATAATAAATCAACTCTAAATTATAATCTTTTTTTTTTAAAAAAAAAAAATTGATACAAAAGAATCTATATTATATTTTTCTTTAGGTAATATCCATTATTTTCAAATATTTCAAATAATAGAATTCTACTTAGAAGTCAAGTTTAGTTGTTAACCATTCAATTTTTGTGAAACAATTTATTTTTTTTTATTAATAAATGGTTTTTGCTTATCAACTTGAACATAATAGCTTTTTTCATATAATTTTTATTGTAAAGTATATTAATTGACTTTGGTTGAGATTGATTCTACATATTCACTATATTTAACATTTAAAATAACTTTATGATTTTTTTTTATGTTTTGTAATAAGTATTATATATTATAATCTATTAGTTTAGTTGATCTTTCTTTCCAAGCTGAAGATTTTATTTCATCAATTTTTTTGTAATAATTTATTACATTATTAATTGTTGATTTAGGTATGTCAAATATTTTTATAATGGTAGAAAGTTTAAAATCACACTTTAAAGTATTGGTAATTCTGTTTTCTGATAACTCTTTATGTTTTTATGCCATTGTGAGAAAAATTCAAGTACAAATGCAAAAAACAATTGACATTTTTAAAGGCTCAATTTTTGTTAACCTTAACAATGTAAAATTTAATAATAGCACAAAAAAGAACTTTTGATGATTTTTTCGTTTGATAATTTTACTCAAATTGATCAACGTCCGGTGACTTCTGGCTAAAAACCTATGACCGGCAATTTTTCATCGGACATAGCCGCACGTGATTAAATGCACCTTTATAGATGTTAAGTCCGATTAATTAAATTGCCAGTTACACGTTTTCCCCGGCAACGTCCGATGAAAAATTACTGGTTATAATTTCTCCCTTGACAACGCAACGCTCATAGTATCTTATGAAAAATCACTTTTAATTATCTAATTTTATACAAAATGCATAGATCTCCTGACGCGATTGACATGCACTATTAAACAAAAAACATTACATAATTATTTTCGAGGATTTGAAGAGTCAAAGTCAAAACGATCTCTATCTCATGTACAAATATGAGAAATTTAATCACTATACAGCATTGCCAATTACATTTTGGCAATTGCAATGTCACAATATGTGTTTCAAATATGACTGCCGTGTATGTAATTTACATAAGAAAAATAATTGTTCAAAAATTAAACAGTCGATTTAATTCACTCTTTAATTATGTTATCACAATTCTCTACGCTTCCATTGTCGAGGTTCTCTTTGTCATATCCGCCTTCCGGCATATTCAACACATTATCATTACTGGTATCAACAGAGATTGATCCTAAGAGTGCATCAACTTCCGAGGAACCAAACAAAATATTTTCATACTCATCCACGGAAACAAAGGCTCCACCATTCTCATCAGATTTTGCAAAGTTTGGAGATGATGCGGCTGGCGGAATACTGAAATCAATTTCATCCAATAAACTATTTATGGCTTGATCGGAAATTAAATTTCCACCACTGTTGGATGAAAGATTATTTAAAATCTCATCATACTGAGACAGATCAGCGACGTTTCCATCCTTTTCTGGTAACAATATTGACTGGGAAATAAGATTGCTGCTGTCTTCAACAGATCTCAAATCAAATAATGTTTCACTTGCCGTTGTTGACAAAGAGAACCCATTGTCGTCGCAAGTACCGTTAGTATCGTTTTCAGGGATTGAAACGATTTCCGGGACAAGAGTTGGTACTTCGTTCAAATACCGTAAAATATCATTGCCAAATGGATAAGAGCACTTATGGAATAATAAAAAATTGTTCGTTTGTTTATGTTTATGAAATATGTGATTCCAATATAAAGACGAGTCGACTTACCTGTTCATTTATACACATCAATAATTCCGAATTAAAATTAATATGAAAAGAGGAGATTTTTGATGAACATAAAGGACATACATCCCCCACTTGTGACATTACTTAAAATAAAATATACGCGCCTTTTTATTGTGTCAAGCCCTAGGTTAAAAATGTGTTCAGCAAAGGAGAATAAAAATTTTATCTGCGCGACTTGAATTTAATTGGATCGTATTTAATGATGTATGCAAATGATCGACTACAATAAACAGTTTGAGACAAAACTTTTTGCTCTTTTATTTTTTATTATCATTTAATAAATAATTATTTAATCAAAATAAAATTCTAAATATATATAATTTATAACCTAATTTAATAATAATTAATTAATAATTTTATTTCAAAAATTTGATTTAAAGTTAAATAAATAACCAAAAAAAATTTTTTATAAATATATATATATATATATCTATTTTTTTTTTTTTTTTACTCGCAATCATGTT